TAAATGATTTGAGGTTAAAAAATGATACTGTGCTGCAACAAAGAGATAAAAAATTTATTTCAACAAATTTATACCCACTGGCATCTAAATGGGATCATCTGATTATATTTTTACACTGGAATCCCGTTTTCATTAAAAGCCATGCGGTCTATAGACACATAATGTCTGGATCAGAACAGGGTCAAATAATCAAAACTGACAGATAACAGATAATTAACTCTCTGAATCCATTGAGTCTGACCTCCTTCTTGGAATATTCAACTGCTTCCATGGATGTATCGGATGTATGTATACATGTATAGCACACCATAGGGATGACAGTATACTATATATACAGGGTCAAGCAATCAACTTTAACAATTGCAATTAACCTCATAACCAGGCATGATTTAGTACTGTAAACTCTGCTATTTTGGGAGATCATAAACAGATCATACCATATAGAAAGTCCACAGCATGTGGTCAAGCAATAAGCCTATTCAGATTGCAATCAACTCTTACAACCAAGGATAACCATACTGCGAATAAACCCTGCTGGTAAAAAAAAAAATAGCCTTCACTATTTATTGTCAATTTATTATACTGACTAACAGCATTTGAAGATTTTCATCATGTGAACTCCGCCTATTTGGGAAGCCAACATGATGATATAAGCAACCACTCAGTGCAGGTTTCCTGGTATTGACATGTTCATTTTGGTGGAGATGAAAGGGAAGTACTTGTAAACACGCTTCAAGGAAAGTAACACCCAGCTGATGCTGGCTTGGGTTTTTCTTTTTTTTTTTTTTTTTTAAAGCTAGAGAAAATGATCAGCTATAAAATATGCAAATTAACCTTAAATGTGTCTTCTGAACCAATCTGGCACTTGTATTAGGAACCCGTTTCTAATTTACAGAACGTAAAAGTGGGTCTCAACTTTAAGATTCAGTCTTAAAATGTTAGTGTAATGTTATTTTGATCCATTAATGCAACAGTTACTGGTAAAACTGAAATGTTCTTACTTTAAGCAGTTCTGAAAAAAACATTTTATTGCACAATCTTCACTTTAAGATAAGGTCATCACGGTATTACACATAATCAAATAACCTAATTTTCTACAGAAAGCATAATCATTTCCAAGTATAGTTTCAGCAACTCCATAACAGTGTGAAAACCAATGGATTTGCTTTTCACTTTTGTCGAGGCTAGATGAATCGGTGAATGCACCCTGAATTTCAGCAGATGATACATGGCCATTTCAAAAAAATGCCAGCAGAGAACTGGTGATAGCGGAGAGGTGGGTTTACAGTGTCAACTGAAACCTGGGGTGGATGAATATCACACTTTAGAAGAAATACACCTTAATTGGCAGGAAATAACCAGAAAAATAGAGAAATAAGCTAAACCTGAATATTAGCACACTGTCAGCAAATAATCGGAAAAAAATAGAGAAATAATCTAAACCTAGTCATAAATGCACTGTCAGGGTGCTAAACTAGGGTAGCTTTCACATTCGCACTGAAGGAACACCTTGATTAAAGATAGATTTACACTAGGTTTGTGAGGGAAATCAGGGGCTTAACAGCTAATCTTGAGCTCAATCTAGTGCTCAATGACAGGTCATTCATTTTCTTGGAAAACCCTGGAAAGTAAGTCTTCACAACATAGAACCCAAGTAACCTTTCTCTTGAAGGGTTTGGACATAACCTTGGCTTATCACCTTGCATGCTGTGTTTTTATGAAAATGAGAGGGGAAGCTTCAGGGTAGCAACCTCCCTCTCCACCTAATCCCTCAGCCCTGCTTACGGTCTTCTTACTTTTTACAATCATTATGAAATGTTTTCTTTTTTTTTATTTCTAGAAGTGTTTTTATAGACTTTGGCCGTATCATTCACATCATGTACATTGAATACTTTTGAAAACTGACCTAAGTTTAAGCACATTTTTAATAAATATTCATGTATTTTTAAAAACCATCAGAGTACCAAATGTATTATTCTAAACACTTTTAATTAACAATTTTATCAATCTTATTCTCATTTAGTGAACTTAACCATTTACTTACTGTCTTTATTGTACAATCCAACTATTTTAGTTGCAAATTGAATATTATTTTTTTTACATATATTAGTGCTAGAAATCTGTGAACCAACACAAGGGTCATTGAGAGGGATCTTTAGAAGCAATCTTGAAATGAAACAAGCATAAAATGTTCAGAATCATTATCAGTCAACAGGTACTTAAACAATCCTTAAAAAACTATACAGAACACACAGATGTAGATCTTAGCACGAATTACTTAAAAGGGCACAAGAAAAATTCAGAATCATCACTGGTTGACATATTTCTAAAGAATGTTTAGAACATAGAAAATACAGAATCTGGTGCATAATCAGAGTCTTGTATGGGTAGACAGCTTAGGAACTGGCAAATAACGCCTCCTTAGTGAAATGCATTGCCAAAGAAATGCTATGCGACTTGTATTTTCTATCACCCTTTCCACTCAGTCCAATAAAACAACATTCTCATTTACCCAACCCAACATTGATTAGGCCAGTGCACTTAAAAGTACGAAAAAAAAAAAAAAAAATGTCTGGCATCTTTCCACCCTCTTATTACTTTTCCTCTCTGCAAAAAAAGACAAGGGAATGAACAAATCAATGACATAATTCACTTGGCGTACATTTGACATTAGCAGTAGGTGATATTTCATTGGAAAATCAATCGCCTCCCTTGTCTATAGGGCTAATCATATTTCCAATTGAATAATTCTCCAGACAGTTGCACCAAGTCAAGTTTTAGAAGATGCTATTGAGGAGCAGTCATCCTTTATTAGGCTGATTAAACCAGGTTTGCACCCAAGCAAATTAAGCCAGACTCCCACCCAACCAAATTAAGCCGGACTCAAACCTTTAAAATCTTAACAATATGTAATAAATGCTGACAGCAACCAAGCCAGTGGGCACAGAGTACTGCTCCAAGTGCTCTAGCTATTTAATGTCAGTGGGCAGACGGTCAGAATTTTTCAAGTTTACATTGACAGACATTTAATTTTTTCTGTCGGAAGACGGTCAAAAAATGGAGGATGGTTTAGGAAATATAATTTGGAACACCATCAGAAAATATCTCTGGATCCGCCACAAGATGTGCTCAAAGCCACCCTCCCCCCTCCCCGAGATCTTACCCCTTGACTGAGAGATGATTAAGGTGCACCTATGAAGCAACTTTTATAACAAAGTAACGCTACAGGTATATTTTACGAGACACGTACCAGGGGTTCAAAAATTAGGTTTATTATGATTAAGCAGTATAAAAGAAAAACAGTCCATTATGTTCATGACTGTGGCGACTACCTGGCTAGCTTAATTCTAACAATTAAGGACCCAATATACAATATAGGTCCTGACCTTAATACATGTAACTTCTCATTACAAGAATCAACAAACTCTGTGCAGTCTTATATTAACAATATAATACAGATTCAAATATCAGCTTTTTTTTTTTTTTTTAGAAACATATTTATCAAAGGATTATTTTAGCAATGCATTCACACGAAGTTGCCATTATTTACCTTTTTCTAAACAGCACATGCAAGATTCAGCAGACCCTCTCAAATGATACTTAACACCATGTGTTCTCCAACACGTGTGACCTCCCAGTGACCTTGAAGTGCTCCATCTGACCCTTAACTGGCCCTTAGCAGACCCTTGTCATAACATCCCTGACCCCTTCACCACCTCTCTATACACCTTGCCATAACACTCCTGACATTTCCATGACCTATTAAAGCACCTTAACTGACCAAGGATGACCCAGACTGGACTTAACGATAAGACTTTGACCAGTGAGTTAGTCTAATGAAACCGGACTTCCTCAATGGACTTATGATATTTGTAAGGCAATCATAAAAACAATGGTGTTCAAATGCAGTTTGCCCAGATAGACAAATTGCAAACCAAGTCAAATGTACAAAACGTATAAAAATGACACTGAAGGTAGGATTCCAATTTCTCTAGCACTTTTTTATCCACAATTCAATCTTTATTTATTACTTTATTTATTTATTTATTTATTTATTTATTTGTTTGTATTTTCTCAGTGATTATTCAGACCTGTAACAGGTGTATACCTGGACATGCATTGGGAAACAAATCCTCCCACATCTTTATCCATTTAAATTTTAAAATCAGCAAATAGAATTTAAGATGATGGCTTATAATCAGATTCAGCCCATGAAAATGAAAAATATTTCTGATGTTTATTTTTAAAATCATTTCTCAGCAATTACAAACAATTTTGTTCTTGAGGGTACAAAACAAAAAAAAAAAAAAACGTTTTCTGTATCACTACATTGGAAACACACTAAGGCCCCTAATTTTCACATCTAGCAGTCCACTTAACTGTACCGGTCCACTTTGAGAAATTGACAACTTAATAGTTTGGTGATTATGCTAGAGTCACCTAAACAGAGCCCCTCAATAGATACAACAGGGCCCTAGCAATGGTCCAAAGGTTCAATAGTCCGAAGGTTCCAGTTCTTGACATTAAGGGTGGCCCACTGGCCCTGGGCCACTGAAAACCAACCTAGGGGCATTGAATCGCTGGGGTCACTGGCCCAAAGAGCAAGTAAAATGCCATGTGCCAAATGACCCTTGCAATATTTACCGATATCTCGGGCCAGTATCGATAAAAGTTAGTGTCAAGCCCTGGGTTCATTGGTCTGAATGTAGTACCTTCGGATTAATGAACCCTAGATTAAAAAACTGATGAAAACGTTACCATTTTTCGGACCAATGAACTTTCGAACTATCGAGATGCCCCCCCCCCCCCGATACAACCATTCAATCAATCTTATAGCAGAAAGTAATCTTGTGAAGAACTTGTGACAGGGATCAACTGTGACTTCCCCCTCTTCTGTAGTGTAATTGCACGTTGTATAGGACCCATCAAAGTTGACCAGTTCAGTTAATGCTTGATGTGAAAAGGATTTAAAAGCTAGTATGTCTAAACATCTTACTTACCACTGTCACAGCATCATTCAGCAAGGATTCCCCAAATACAATGATGTATAGGACTTCATTGACTTGGATCTCTTCAAATACTGCCAAGACAGCGACAGGGTCTACCGCAGAGATGAGGCTGCTGAAGACCAGGCAATGGAGGAAGCTGATGCGAATGTCCATGAGCCCAATTACTGGAATATGTAAGGGTAAAGGAATTAAGTACAAATGTTAAGTGCCTGAGAGTGTGTGTGTGAGTGTGTGTGTGTGAGAGAGAGAGAGAGTGGGAAAGAGAGAGCATGCATCTGTTTTAGCATATTTGCGCATGTGCGTGTACACATGCTGTCGCAGGCCAGATCAGAATCCAGTCTAGTCAGAAACTGGTCTGCAGCAGATCAGAGTACTGATCAAATCAGGACTAGGTTAGTATTTATTTCACATGAGTCAGATCAGATTTGTAAACAAATATAATCCTACAGATAAGCAGAATAAACCACATTAGTGACAGAAACAAACATATGACTACAATTCCTGATAAACATGAGTTAAATTCATGTTTTTTTCTTCAACTTACTTAGAAAATGAACAGAAGGGAAAACTGACAATACTGATGAGAAAAACCTGCACTGAATTATTCCTGTGACTTTTTAAGTTGTTCTATATTCAGCACACGATTACACACCTAAATCCCATCTTGTTCTACCTCTGTCAATACAATCTCAAAATTGGATTGAGTAAAATCACATTTCTATCCCACAACACAACACAACAGACATGATAAATTTAATAAATAAAACTATCAACTTCACAGCAGCATTTTTTTATCAGGAAATTGCAAAGTAAAAATGTCCTTAACCTTTAAAACAGATTGTTTTGACATTAAAAATGACATTAATGCCACCTACGCTTCAACCTTTCATTGGCTCTAGCCTCTACCAGGGCTACAGATTTAATTATTTTCACTAGATTTTCAAGGATATGTCTCTACCTTATTCATGGCACACTCTCTATTGTGACCCTGTTATGAAATCTCAAGGATAATTACTGGGTTGGTAATTGTTTGCATAACTGCTAGGCACTGCTAACTTATAAGTTCCTGCCAAATCCCTCTGATTGCAATCAAGACAGTTAATTGCTCTGACCTTAACTGCTTGATTTGCTGTGCTCAATCTGGGCTGTTACCTTTATCAGACAATGAAACTAAAATCCACCAAAAACGACTGTAAAATACCACACAAGACTATCATTATGCAAAAAAATTTTCCAATTACATCAGGTAAGTATTTTTTCGAAGTTTTTAATAAAATTGCCAAAATATATATATATATATAAAGCCATAGTTGACTAGCCTGAGCAAAGTGACCTAGTTAAGTAGACTAGACATTTAGCCAACTAGGAGTGTTTCACAAAGAATCTGAAGTCTTAGCTTTGTTTGCTTCCAGTAGTCAATACATTCCAGGAACTTTCCAAGAAAAGGTGGAAAAATCCCTGAAATTCCAGATGATATGACATTTCATGTTGTCTTTGATGGAATGATGGTTTATCAACAAAAAAAAATCAGACAAAACATACGTTGTTTTTTTTTTAAACAGGGGCCAAATCCAGTGACAGGGTTGTGTTTGAGAAATGTGTACATAAGTAATCTGTTTAAAGGTACATGGACTCTGGGAATCCAGTCAGTGATTTAAGAATGCAGCAATCCTTTTCACCTCACGGCACTGGTGGGCTAATGTTTCGCAACAAAATATAGCATAATGTAACTCAAACTTGCCCTGATTAAAATTTCAAAACTCTGTTAGTTCTTCAAAAAGCATTCATTATATGAAACCACATGTGTAGGCTTACTCAAAGACAAGAGAGTAAATTGCTAATGATTTAATGTGGGAATTAAAAAAACTCTAAAAGTATTTTCTAGATACCACATCTGAATAAAATTTTTATAATTTAATTTTAATGAATGAATAAGCATAAAAAGACATTAGGCCCAATCTGAAGAGACCACATATTAAATCAAATCCTTCAGATACAAATCAAATTACTTACAGTATGAGTAACGTAAAAATATATAATTTTTAAAAAGACTGTCAGCAGATTTAACAACCACAAGTATGTTGTTTTTCTCCTCTACATCTGCGACAACATAAATGTTAACAGTGCAATTTGTCATGAAATATATTTGCTCAGCAATTATGCTAGGAGAGAGAGAGAGAGGAGAGTGTGTATACAAAAAGTTGTAGTGAAGATAGTAAGCATCTGTTGCACCATGTATATTGTGTTTAACCACTACAGTGTACAGCTTGTTTGCACCAGTTCACAATAAGTCTTCTATTTCCATTGTAACAGAATCATAAAACAAAATGTGTGACAGCTTGTTTTCATAAACCTCTCAAAAGCATAATTTCATCAATATCTTTTCAAACTTCTAATTATTCCAACTTCCAGAAGTCTTTTCAAAGAAACTAAAATGGAAGCATTAGACACAGCAGATGAACTTCACACATGAAACCCATTCATTCTATTTTTTAATGATCATCTACCAGTGGTCTTTTCCATCATCATGGTATACATTCACTGTACTTATTACAGTTCTAATAAAGGACATCAGCAGCATTGAATCTTTCTCTTTCATCAGGGCTCACCAGCACATTTTCATTACAGATAAGCAGGTGTGTTCTAACACCCCATTCTCATAGATTAGATCGACCTACATTGGATCGACCTAACTCCCTGGGGGTTCACGCTAAATAGCTGTCAGCCGGGCGGACACGAAAGTTAATTACCCCTTAAAGCTTGTAGTAGGCGGGGACGGACACTTAAGGGGGATTATCTGACAGTAATCTAGTGAGACTCCCCGCGGTGATAGATCGATCTAAAAGTTGTGAGAACAGTCTTTCCCCCTGTATGATATAACAACACCTACAGCTACCCTTCCACACATCCCCTCACTTAATCTAAAACTAAACCATGGGTCAGTTCAATATATACAGGTTTCCGAAAAAAGATGGTTTGATACCTTTCGGTACACAGATAATTAGGAACAAACTTTCATATGCAGTACTACATAAAAGCAGAAACCAATTTGGACAAATTGTGTATTTTAAGATTTGATTACACTTTTAAAACTGTGATGTCCAATACTTATTACGTATATTGTAGTCAATGCCATCCCGAAGTCTCCACCCAAGCAGAACCCCACCTGACTGAATGAAGAAAAGAGAGGTGTGTGTATATAGCTGTGTAAAGGTGGAGTGATGCTGGACTGGTATTATCTGACATCTCCTTATTTCAACATACATTAAATGTAATTTGCAAATGATACAAATTAGTATATTTTACACCTTCCAATATTGTGCATTTTCAGATTTTTGTCACTGACAAAAGCACTCTTTCAGATAAGAAGTCAGCTCACATTTCATAAATTTCACATCATCTGTTGTTCTTCTCATTCTGACTATTGATTAATTCTCTGTCTTCATGCGTCATTCTAGTTGTTTATAATACCATAAACAACAGACCTAGTCTTTTATGAGATCTCTGTAATGTAGGAATCCCTATTCTCTGTTTTACCTACCATTTATGACAGAAATAGAACAGCATTGTTAGTTTTCTTCTTCCCTTAATCAGGCCTTATAAACAGATAAGGCGTTTACTAACACTACCTACATAGCTTTTAACAATGATGCCCATATTAACCACAAAACCCACAAATTAACCAACACACTGCACAATTATTTAGCACCAACAAAGTGATATCTAGCACTAACATTCATCTGCTCTGACAGTGCTAGTTAATTTGTGGGTTATGTGGTTAATATGGGTGTTAGTGCTTAAAGATCTAGGGATAGTGATAGTAAACTCCAAATCCATATAAGGCCTGTTAAAAGTAATAGCTCTCTCTCTCTCTCTCTGCCCAAATGATTTCCTATTGCTGAATCAGGTCCTCAAGTCTTCATAAATTGACTAATATTACTATAATTACCAGGATGTGAATTCATAACCTCTCACTTCAGTTGACATTAAATGTTCCTGTACCTTACATAAGAATACATGCAGGTGGATATTATTCTATGACATACATAGTGTGTCTACTTCCTTTTTCTTTTTTTGCTAATTAAGAATTCGGCCTGCAGCATGACAGGATTTCCTTCTTCCCTTACCGTACCTGCCACCTAGCTTGCACAGAAATGGTGGAAATGACTGTGTTCTTGAATAATAATAATAAAAGTCAGGGGCGGATTTAGAATGAGCTTTTAAAGGCGTGGTCAGAATTTTCTTAAATGATGCTTATCAATAAAGCATTTAAGACAAGTATCCTGATTTTCCACAGATAATAGAAGACTGTCAGTCATATTCTGCTGTAATATCTTTATTTTGTGTGTGATTTCATAATTGACATAAAAATGGACAGACAATTATTTCATTTGCATTTTTTACCAATCACTCTTTTATTCATGGTTTTTCTGGTGGGAGAAATTATTTTCTATGCTTAATAGATATTCCATTTTTGACAAGCAGAGGGATTCCTGTGTGAAATTACAAAGGAGCATCATCAAACAGTACAACAAGTACACAAGTGGAATAAAAATATGACTTTACTCATATGTTAATATACTGCTAAATAATTATCAAAAGGTATAGAAATTAAAATTCACATTTCAAATATTGTATTAAGACACAAACATAACAAAAAAATAAAGACTTATTATTCTCTAGAAATATGAAGCTGTTTTNGGACAAATTGTGTATTTTAAGATTTGATTACACTTTTAAAACTGTGATGTCCAATACTTATTACGTATATTGTAGTCAATGCCATCCCGAAGTCTCCACCCAAGCAGAACCCCACCTGACTGAATGAAGAAAAGAGAGGTGTGTGTATATAGCTGTGTAAAGGTGGAGTGATGCTGGACTGGTATTATCTGACATCTCCTTATTTCAACATACATTAAATGTAATTTGCAAATGATACAAATTAGTATATTTTACACCTTCCAATATTGTGCATTTTCAGATTTTTGTCACTGACAAAAGCACTCTTTCAGATAAGAAGTCAGCTCACATTTCATAAATTTCACATCATCTGTTGTTCTTCTCATTCTGACTATTGATTAATTCTCTGTCTTCATGCGTCATTCTAGTTGTTTATAATACCATAAACAACAGACCTAGTCTTTTATGAGATCTCTGTAATGTAGGAATCCCTATTCTCTGTTTTACCTACCATTTATGACAGAAATAGAACAGCATTGTTAGTTTTCTTCTTCCCTTAATCAGGCCTTATAAACAGATAAGGCGTTTACTAACACTACCTACATAGCTTTTAACAATGATGCCCATATTAACCACAAAACCCACAAATTAACCAACACACTGCACAATTATTTAGCACCAACAAAGTGATATCTAGCACTAACATTCATCTGCTCTGACAGTGCTAGTTAATTTGTGGGTTATGTGGTTAATATGGGTGTTAGTGCTTAAAGATCTAGGGATAGTGATAGTAAACTCCAAATCCATATAAGGCCTGTTAAAAGTAATAGCTCTCTCTCTCTCTCTCTGCCCAAATGATTTCCTATTGCTGAATCAGGTCCTCAAGTCTTCATAAATTGACTAATATTACTATAATTACCAGGATGTGAATTCATAACCTCTCACTTCAGTTGACATTAAATGTTCCTGTACCTTACATAAGAATACATGCAGGTGGATATTATTCTATGACATACATAGTGTGTCTACTTCCTTTTTCTTTTTTTGCTAATTAAGAATTCGGCCTGCAGCATGACAGGATTTCCTTCTTCCCTTACCGTACCTGCCACCTAGCTTGCACAGAAATGGTGGAAATGACTGTGTTCTTGAATAATAATAATAAAAGTCAGGGGCGGATTTAGAATGAGCTTTTAAAGGCGTGGTCAGAATTTTCTTAAATGATGCTTATCAATAAAGCATTTAAGACAAGTATCCTGATTTTCCACAGATAATAGAAGACTGTCAGTCATATTCTGCTGTAATATCTTTATTTTGTGTGTGATTTCATAATTGACATAAAAATGGACAGACAATTATTTCATTTGCATTTTTTACCAATCACTCTTTTATTCATGGTTTTTCTGGTGGGAGAAATTATTTTCTATGCTTAATAGATATTCCATTTTTGACAAGCAGAGGGATTCCTGTGTGAAATTACAAAGGAGCATCATCAAACAGTACAACAAGTACACAAGTGGAATAAAAATATGACTTTACTCATATGTTAATATACTGCTAAATAATTATCAAAAGGTATAGAAATTAAAATTCACATTTCAAATATTGTATTAAGACACAAACATAACAAAAAAATAAAGACTTATTATTCTCTAGAAATATGAAGCTGTTTTCGTGTAACCAACACAGGTAAAATCATGACTGAAAGATTTTTTTTTTTTTTAATACACAAACTTTCCACCAACACCTTATCAACAGCAGGACTACATGGCAAATATAGTAACTTGTCCTCAAATTCAGATCCGGGATATCTTTAATCCAACTTAATCAATACATTCATGCTTGCACTTTCTTGTCTCCACCTGTCAATTTTTAAGTACCAGTTGGTACATGTTGAGACACATCATGAGAATCCCAAAACCTAGCTTACCAGTACATAACCTTCTTTGTATAAAGGTCCACATGAAGTAGACACAAGGGCCAAAATCTAGCAGCTACAGTTATAATACACAAATTATAACAGCATCACATCTTCCAATATACTGTACTTTTCTTATTTGCAAGTCACTAACATATTTCCCTTTCTGGCACAAGCATTTTTCATGAACAGGGATTTTAAATGATCTGTTTAAGGTTTTTATGACAAAATTTGTTTCTGAAACATAAATAATATTCGTTTATATTTAAAAGGCAATTACCATACCAATGAAGCTGAGACAGATTAGGCTTTCTCTTCTTAAAGAGGACAGGTAGTGAACCCATTTCACTTATCACTCTGGATGCTAATATAACACTGTGTACCAACTCCTTGATTTCATTGGAAATTTATATTTTTAGATAGTTTTTTTTTTCTTAACCCTATGTCCCTTTTAATCATCCAACATGATACACATGCAAACTATACTGTTTTGATCCAAAATTGAACAGGCACAGTAGTTGGAAAGTCATGTTCTGCATACACCAATTCACCATCCCGATCATCAGCTTTCAGCTTTTGTATGTACCCACACACTTTACGTGATTTAATCTCATTGTGAAACAATTCAATGTCCAGACAGTTTAAGGTATCATGCATATTTTGAAAATGTCCCCCAAGTTATACTCCCAAAAAGCTTCCTGTCTTTCCCCATTCCAACAATTAAAAATGATAAAACTATACTCATATACAGTGAAAGTTTGTACGATGTATTTTCTTCTGGGCTGAGATTCAAGAGAAGAAGAAAATAGCTTGTC